CTTCCCCTCGCATCTAGAAGGTGTTGCAATGCCGAGGTTTCTAATGGCAAGCAGGCTGATTTCACCGCCCGATTGCATGAAAAAGTTTATCAAACTGGCCGTGTCCCTTTCCTACGTTTTGGATCCAAGCCCCATCGACAGTGCTCCTTGAGGACAATGAGAAAAAAAACCACTCGCCCATATCTGTGAGTCATCTCTCAATCTTTTGAGATGTCTCGAACTTGCTTAGGTTTCCAAATGGCTCTAAAATGCATTGGAGGGGCCAAAGGGATGCTTCTCCATCATCTCTTGTAAAGCCACGGCCTCTTTCCATGTCAGCAAGGATCATAACAAGGTGCAACATAGCCGAGAGAGCGGAAAAAAACCTATTTTCCAAGGAATGGGTTTGTGGTTTTTTTTCCTAACAAAGAGCCCACGAGGAAAGCTGAGGCTAGGCAGAAATGAAGGCTATGAGGAGATGCTAATAGAAACAGCGTCGAGTTGTCACCTGGATGCTCTCGGCCCGGAGACGAGGGTTACGTAAATGCAAAGCCTTCTCACGACCCCCCCCTTGGAAAAGCACCAGGCAGGAGAAACCCGATCTTTGGCTGGTGGCAGGGTGCAATGCCGCTGATGAACAGCCCTGTGCTGCGATCTGCCCAGTTTCTTTTTTTTTTCCCCCCTTCTTTAGTGAAATAGTTTCTGCAGTGCTGGTAAAAGAGGCCGGATTGACAACCTGAGAGAGGAGCTCGAACTCCAAGGGCCAGGCATTCAGTTGGCAACTCTGTCAAACCTCCTGACAAGTCGGCTATTTAATACCCGCGGCAGGCACCGGAGCCTGCAGCACAGAGGCTGCTTTTATAATTGGGGAAAGAAGTTTTGAGTCAAGAGGCTACAGGAAGCATCGGCTTATGGCTAAAGGTTTGAGGCCTGGCGGCTATCTCCTGCCACGGCCTCTCGAGCCGAAGGCGGGGGGGAGCAGCGCAGCCCGGCAGACGGGGAGTTCGCATCCCTGCCCCAGTGCATGTCACCCGTCCCCACCCCAAGGGCTACGTGGACGGCAGCCTTGCAGGGCAGGAGGCCACGCTTTAATCCCGCTCCGGCTCTAGCTATGCGTTGTGCAGGGGCTGCACCCCTCTCTTGCCAGATCATGCAGCCTCTTTGATACCTGCATGCCTCAGTTTCCCTGTTTTAACGCAGGGAAATGCCCTCCCACCCTCCCCATTCTTCCCTTTGAGATCACTGCTTTAATATCCTCAGGGGAAAAGCACAGTGGATCTGCATAACAGTATTATTCTTCCATGCAATCCCCCCCATTAAAATCCAGAGAAGATTCTTATACAAATCAAAGGCCGGATGTAGCTAATACACCATAAAAGCAAAAGTATCTGTGCAGAAACCATTTTAAAATCCCTGTATCCATATGCATAGATGTATACTTATGCACATGCATGAAAAATCAATGGTCTTTCCAAGCTGCCTATCACTTTGGGACATCACTGTAGCCTAAAGGAAGACGCAGGTCATTTAAAAGGGAACATACACCCAAAAGCTTGCAAGGAACATTTTTTTTCCCAACTATTTAGTTGGTCTAATAGAAGATACCACATTTACCCAAAGAACCTTGTCTGCCGGTGTCCTTAGGCCAACACAACTATAACCAGCAGTGCTATGGAAACCCTCAACATTTCTACCCAGGAGAACTTTTGCAATCTTTTCTCCGATGCCTGAGGAAGGGTGTTTGTGCCTGAAAGCTTGCAATTAAGGCCTTTTTTTTTTTTTTTTTTTTTTTGCAAAAAGCTACTTGGTTTAATAAAGGAGATCACCTCTACCATGAGTCCTGATTGCTCTCAGCATGTGAAAACTTCATGGTGCAGAAGGAAGACAAATACGCTTGGCCGCTTAACAGACCGTCCACACCTGGGTACGGACAGGAGGGAGGTTGCGCCAAGGAAGCCCGCAGGCCTCTAAGGAGCATTTCAAGGAAAAGTTGGCAAAAAAAGAGTTAAGATTTTTTAAGTGCCGGCCCCAGTGTTTTACCATAGATAAGGGTGCATTCTAGTGGCAAAATCTATGCAATGCAGCCCGCTTTCTGAAGGAGCTCAGGGAGAAAAAAAAAACCCCTCAGACATACAAAATGTGCGAGTATGGGGCGAGGGGGTGGGAGCAGGACTTTATTGCACTTAAACCTCCTGCAGAAAGGGTCGGTCCCTCCATTTCTCCCTTGGCTGAAGGCAACACCCCCGGCTTGCAATGCAGGTAGCCAGCTCCCAGCGCGTCCTCTTCTCTCGGGGGTTGCTGCGAGCGGCTCAGGACCGGACCGTGCACGCCGGAAGATTTGCTTTTTAATCTATTTAAACGGCCGCATGTTGTTCTCGCGCGCCGGGCCTGGAGGAGCCCGGGCTGCAGGGGGGGGCTTGTCCTGCGCGCTCCCAGGACGGAGGCCTCTGGGATAACGAGGATTAGGGTGAGGGGGTTAAAAAGGCAAAGCAGGCCTGAGATGAATTGAGCTCCACCTGGCACAAGCCCCCCCCGTTTTCTGGCATCCTGCAGATGCAGCGGCAAGCTTTTCCCTTTAAAGGGGGGTCTAGCGCGCCAGCCTCGCCCTCCCCGAGGTCACGCCAACAGGTCCGTCGCACGAAGCCGAGGGTGCGAGCGCCGGGACAGCTCAGCAAACCCCAGCCCATCACCTCGAGGCCCCAACCAAGCCATTGCACGAGCACGTGCTGCCTCCAGCGCGAGCCCCATCTCTCCCGTGCACACGCACGACTCCAGAGCCCACGAGACCAACCCGGGGCTGCGCTGCGCTCCCGCCTGCCTGCCTTCCCCGGGGACATCACATCCTTTGGGGGCAGCAGGCCCTTTGTCCCCCCTGCTCACCCCACTGAGGCTGATGTCTGCCCCACGGGGGGGGGTCTGAAGCCTGGAAGTCAGGAGCCGCTCACCCCACCCCCCGGCCTTGTGCGTGCACTGATATTGCCCTGGTTACTGGCACCCTTTCAGACTGAGGTGTCATTGGGATCTCAAATTGCAGCGAGGGGCTGGCAGGCGGCCAGGGGCAGGCTATTTAAAAGCCAGCCTGTTCTGCTGCGTTCAGTCTCTTTAGAAACTTCTCCAGGGGAAAAGTGTTGGGAGATCTACAAAGTGGATTTTTCTCTCTCTCTCTCTCTCTCTCCTTTCTCTCTCTCCTTTTTTTTTTTCAGTCTTTCCTTTTTTTTTTTTTTATCCCCTCTC